TCCAATTAAGACTGCAACCAAAAATAGAATTAAAAAGGTTACTAAGGAAAAGGCGAAGAAGTGTACGTACTTCAATTTTCGTTTTTTTTTTAAATTGAGACGATACAGAAAGGTCCGAGTCTTATTTGTAGTAATTATTGTATATGAACAATATAACAGATGCTATAAAATTAAAAGTTTCATCTTTTTTAAAAGTTTTATCATGAATATTTTTCTTAATTAGCGAACAAATATATTTCAGTAATTAATATTAATATTAATATTTCAGTATTTATGTAAATGTGTATTTTATAGCTACCAATCCTAAGGTTGGCGTACGCATGGACGAAAATCAGCTTCAAATTCTGGACGATCTTCCTAGCTCTGCCGTAGAAATGCAAGTTAAAGATAAGGTATGTCAACGTTATGTAATTTGTAAAATTACATTGAAATGTAATAAAATGATTCAACATTTTTTATCTGTATTGTTGTAGTTTCTTAAAAAACTAAACCGACAAGAGAGAGTCGTGGAAGAAGTGAAATTGGTTCTCAAACCTCATTATACCAAAAAGCACATCACAAAAGAGGAATACAAAGACATCATGCGCAAAGCAGTACCTAAGGTGAATATTATTTAGATATGTTTTAATAATTAAAATAATATCGAATAAATATAATCCAAGAAATAAGGAATAATATACACATAATAAAAATATCCTACAATTTCAATTATAGATATGCCATAATAAGACAGGCGAAATTAATCCTAAAAAGATAGCCCATTTAATAGAAGCGTACGTAAAGAAGTGTCGAAATAACAAGAAGAAGACTTCTGGCAAATTAACGAAACCTACGTAAGTGCATTTTGAATACAATCGCATTATACAGCTTTTATATTAATAAAATGAAGTTTAGGTCGCGCTCAATCACACACACACACACACACACGCACGCACGCGCGCACGCACGCTCGCACGCACGCACGCACGCACGCACGCACGCACACGCACGCACATATTACAAGCGAAATTAATGACTACATTTACACGGCATTCCATTCTCGAGTTTAATAACATCCATAGTAATGAAACTGGCCAATCACAGTCGTTCCATTCTTCCGAGGAACTGCTGTGATTGGCTAATTTCATAACTACGGATGTTATGATGAAGCGTGCCGTGTAAATGTAGTCAATATTTCTCTTATCTTTTCATGCAACTGTATTTAATGAAATTTACAGGAAAACTCTATGGAGTTGATCACGTGTTGGCAATCCTAGCGCATTAGAAAGTTCTTCAACGTTAGGCCTTTCCTTAGACCACGCGTAAAACACATTCTCTCTTCTGGATGGTAAGTGAATTAGAAATATGCATATACATATATATTTATATACATATGCATATATCTGTACTATGTATATGCATGTATCTATGCATACACGTCTATCGATGAGCGAAATATGTATTGTGTGTACATACTTAATTCATTAATTGTATAAGCGTAATATTTTTATTTATCTAATTGTTTAAATACGAAAGAATAAGAGTTCGTGATTATTACTATTATTCACAAATATTAACATATAAGTACGATCGCACGTATTCGCGAAGGTATTCGATGATGTATGGCCTCTGTCCGAATATACAGCTGTACATTGCGATGCCTTTTAAAATTCGGTTCGGATCACGATCAACGATCCTCTGCTAAACTAACTAGGAAATATTATTGTACGATAATTATAATTTAGAGTGCGATTGCGTAATTCAAAAAAGTGAAATGAATAACGAAAGAACGCTCAAATAATTTGAATCGCTATTTATGAAGAGATTTATGAACGAATGGCCAAGTGTATTTTCCCAATAATCCTTGCGGTGTAAAAGAATTAATAGATCCTTCATCAAGATAGATTCTTAAACCTTTATATAAGCGAAAAATGGCCTGCTGAGATCTTTTACCAACGAGTATGTTTCCGAAAGTACACGATATGTGCGGCACCTTGTTTCACTTTATTCATATTATGTAAACAGAAGATAAAAACGGCACACAAGTAAAACACATTTCCGATCAGCGACTTCAAATGTAGATAAATCATGTATAAAAATATCGGATGTTGTCCTTGTATGTAAATTCGATATAAGTTGCGTTTTACTATGCTTATATGATTCCGTACGTCCGATAGAGACTTTTAAGACGTCAATTTTTAACAGTCCATTTTCCGTTTTTCAGAAAAAAAACAGTACTGTCTTATAGATACTGTAACCCGTATTCATGTCTCGCCTTTAGCAGTAAACGCGGCTCGTGTGTCATAGTTTACATGATACGCCTCCGTTATTTACATGTATATACATACATATATGATCGTATTACACACACACACACACACACACATACACACACATATACACACACACACACATATATATATATTATAAAATCTTGATAACTTGATATGATATTAATAATAAGATACAGAATTAGATGACCTCGTTGAGAATAAGCGAGACGTGAACCTACGTATGTTACTTGTAGGAAGACAGGATGATCGCTGCGGAATCGGCGTTTTTTGTTTTTATTTTTTCTTTAATAGGTACTCGATGTTCCAAAGTGCAGACTGTATAACGTATCGAAACAATAGTGTATAATCAATTTACGCAGTGTAATAAAGCGCTAATGAGTCTGTAACAAAGTAACGTAACGGAAAAAAACTTTGCATACCTTCATAGGATACAATCGTGTTCGTTTTAAGCGTCAGTACATAAGTATTTTTTCAACCGATAAGAATAAATAAATTAATGCTGAAATAATGTCTCGTGAATAACTTCGTATTTCTAATGACACGCCGTGAAAATTTTAATTTCGGCAAGTACCATTACATAAAATATACGTACGTATTACCTGCAATTAATAAAAATGCATATTATATTAGCTGCCGTATAAAATTCTGTTATACATTTTACGAACGGATTGTATGCTCATACACTACATATGGATAGATTTTATACTTTTTACGCAAGACAGCGAAAATTACATCCTCTTTGGAACGTATATAGGTACTTATAATATTATATAAAAAACATACGACATTGGCTGAGGTGAATTTAAGCGAAACATGTGTGACGATCCGTATCATAGAAGATATCATCAGTGATCACATCGATATTAATAACGTAATGATTATATCAATGGTCATTACATCAATAAAATGATGTTAAATCCATCGTTAATTAAACTGTCGTTAATTCTTGTGTGCATGAACTCTCTTTTGTACTAAATAGCAATGTACATAAACGAATGGAGAATAAAGAGTTTAATATTATTGAATTGAATTCAATTCGTACTGGCGAATCAACGTTCTATGAAGTTGATACGTACTTATGGATTATCATTATTAAACATCAATTAATATAATAATGTCATTGTAGCCCTATCTTTCTGAACTAAACCTTTCTATTATTAAACAGTTTAAGAGGATGCTGGAGCGACTAAATTATCGACAGTACAGTCATATAAAAAATTTTTTACAGGATTAAAGTAGACGCAAAATTAGGAGATGGTGCATAGATGGTGCATAGATTTTATATTACAATCGAAAAAATGTTAAAGTTTTTAAGTTTTTCGATTTTATATAAAGTCTATTGCACTACTTCCTAATTTTGCGTTTACTTTAATCCAGTAAAAAAATTTTTGATTTCGTTCAGTCAATTTGGAGATTTTTATATAACTGTAATTTATTCACTTTAGCATCCTCTTCTGCAATTGCTTTTGTGTGTGTGTGTTTTGAATGATATTTTAAAATTATATTTGAATTGATCTCTTTTCCTGAACATGAGAAATTAAGCGAGAAAATTCCTTCGAAAAATTCATCTCGAAATTCTTAGGAGAATATACATTAACTTTAGACAATTTAATCCCTGTTTCTACCAATGTAAATTAACTTTGATCTCGGTTTAAGTTACTCGTCATCTTTTTCTAAACTAAGAAAAGATGAAGAATTAGTTGAATCGAGATTAAAATTAAAAATTGATAGAAACGGACATAAATCCGATTTATTTCGCATCAAGAAGTTATAATTTGAAGGATAAATAAGAAAGCTAAAGTAAATTACGAATTTGAATATTATTTATTTTATTCTGTATTTCTTTCGTGTAATTTTTTATATAGATTTATAAATATGAATTTATTTATTATGTAATTTAATTGATTTTATATATAACCTATTTAATTTAAATATAATTTAATATATTTTTTGTAGTATATAAGTAGTTTTATTAGAGATTATTATTTATTTTTATATTTTGCATAAATATATATTTTTATATACACAAAAAAATATATAATTAAAAAGCAGACCAAATGTATAATTTTAGGAGCAAATATCAAATATCGGAAAAACTAACGTAAGCTAACGAAAAGAAGATTAGTACATTTGCTACGCTGTGCCAAATACCGATAACTGGTAGAATGTAGTATTCGAGTCAGTTTGAGATGATATGAATGATGACAAGCCGACATCATCACATCACATAAGATGAAGGGGAACAGGTTGACCGCATGTTCGTCGTGACACGTGCGTTTGGAATTACATACAGAAATAAAGCCAATGCAAGCGCTATGTTAAATGTATTAGCACAGCGTACGATAAACCTCCTTTGCCACGATATTATTACTGTAAGTAGAGAATGATCGTTAATCTTCTCGGAATGGGAATTTAAAAGTTAGGTTATGTTAGATCGACATCGTCGATGCCCATTTCCACCACGTAGATTAACTTTAATCTCGGTTTAACTTTTATCGTTTATCATTTTCTAATCATAAGAATTAAAAAAATTAATGAGTATAAATTGAATTAAGATTTAAGTTAATCCTATATTAGTGGAACCAAGTGTTAAAGTACTTTTCCGGCGAGCGAACACGGGGAAATGATACGTGTAACAAGTAGGTAACAGCCGTTTTTGTTGCCATGCAGGTGAGAAAATACGGGCTAACGAGAAGAATACACGAGAGAGTCTGGAGGAAGACCAGGATGGGTGACCAGCCACTGTCAAGGATCGATCCTGTCGTCATGAAGCTGGACAGCCCGGAGTTTCACTCCATCTTCACTCCGGAATTGGAGAAACTCGCAAGCCTGTTCAAGAAATATAGTTACAAGCTGAGAATCGCCGGCGGCGCGGTACGCGACATCCTGATGGGTAAGCAGCCTAAGGATCTGGATTTTGCGACTGACGCCACGCCACAGCAGATGAAGGACATGTTCACGAGCGAGGAGATCAGGATGATAAATGAGAAGGGTGAAAAGCATGGAACGATCACGGCAAGGATAAATGATATGGAGAACTTTGAGGTCACTACTCTGAGAATCGACGTTCTGACCAATGGACGGCATGCACAGGTGGAATTCACAAAGGACTGGAAGTTGGACGCTAACAGGAGGGATCTGACCATTAATTCCATGTTCCTCGACCTCGATGGCAGAGTGTATGATTATTTCTATGGTTATGACGATTTAAAGAAAAAGAGGGTAGTTTTTGTAGGCAAAGCAAGTATTAGGATTCAAGAAGATTATCTTAGAATCTTAAGGTGCGTACTATTAATTAATGTACATATATATATATATATATATATATATAGGGGATAGACAAAATAATATGAACACCTGAGAAATGTTAAGTGCTTTTCAGCAAGAGACAGATGACATAGTGAATTACTAAAATGAATTACTTGTGATTTGCCACTATTAAACAAAGATACAATGATCACTGTGTGTATATACTGTGTCTCTTGCTGGAAACCACCAAATTGACTTGTTTTATTAATAAAAAGTTGCTTATCATTTAATACAAATTCTATTCTTGTTGGAAGAATTATATATGCTTGAATAATGTAGCAACTGCAATATTATACTGTTCTAGCAGAAGAAATTTTAATTGCTTGAAAGATATTGGAACAAGAAAAAAAGAGATTGGATGGTATTGAAATTTCTTTCTCATTCTGCTCTTCAAAATTATAAATGATACTGAATCAGGCAATTGCATTGGCTAGGAAAAATATTAGAGTTCTGGAAAACAGAGCAATTGGAAAAATAGAGAAAAATTTCCTCCAAATTCATATGAGTAATTAAATCTTTTTGTGTTGCATGAAATTTCCAAAAATTTTTGCACTTAAAACGAGATAAATATATATTCGAATATTGAGAAAGAGAAAACGGAGATAGCAAGTGCAAACAACGCAAACGGATGAAAGATGTTCTACTAAAATAATAGTATAACATTCCATTGATAACTATTTAAGTATCATGTGTGTCACTCCAGTAAAGATAGAATGTATATTAAAAGCAAATGATAGGCCAACCTCTTATTCACGAAATAAATAGTAAAAAATAATGTGTTTTCCAAATAATGTGTTCATATTATTTAGTTCATCCTCTGTATATTATATATATTTTTGCAGAATTTATCGTAATTAAATATGTAGCATTATTATGAATCTTGTATGTATCAATAGTTACACCGAATCCTTGAGATGTTTATATAAGGTTTATATTGTCTGATTACTGCCAGGTACTTTCGTTTCTATGGAAGAATAATGGACAGTCCAAATCAGCATGACGAGGCTACGATAATAGCGTTAAAAGAAAACATTGGCGGTCTAGAACAGATATCCGGCGAGAGGATTTGGAGCGAATGGAACAAGATTCTAAGCGGCACTTTTGCCCTGGAATTAACCCTAAAGTTGCTCGAATGTGGTAGCAGCAGATATATCGGTCTACCCGAAGAACCCGACGTGGAGAACTTTCGAAAAATTTATGAGCGGGCGCAGTCCAATAATGTGACTTTGAAGCCTATATCCTTAATCGTATCGATGTTGAAGGATGAATATGAGGTGATAAAATTACACGAGAGATTGAAACTGTCTAATTCCGACAGAGATTTAGCGATATTCCTGGTTCAAAATAGGGAATGCAAACCCTGCGAGAAACCGTTGAAGCCTTATCAGCAGCTGGTCCTTCTTCAACAAATAAAGAGATACGACGTCCTCAAAGAGGATGTGAAGGAGTTGTTGAGATACCGTGGTGCAATACAACTTCTGGACGAATTCGAACAATGGGTAATTCCGAAATTTCCTATCAATGGCAACATGTTGATAAAATACGTGACGATGAAAAAGATGATAGGCAGCGTCCTAATTGAATTGAAAAGGATATGGATCGATACGGACTTTAAATTAACTAACGAACAGCTTATGGAGCATGTATCAAGTATAGTCAGTGAATTAGAAGAACAATATAAAACATTAGATAAAGAGAAGAATAAGAAATTTAAAAAAATGAAATAAATATTTTTCGAAATATTGAATTAGTTTTGTGTACCTGTAGCAAACATTCATTATTTTTTAATAGAAATTTATTAGGTTGTATTTAATTATTTTTAAACTAAATAAATAATTTAAGCAACTAGTAATTTATTATTATTAAACATTTAATGAAAAAGATGAAGCGACTTTTGCATAGTATAATTTTTGATAAATTATTTTTATAGCGAGAAACAAATACTGCATATAGAAAGATATTGATGTTTAATTGAAAGATATCGGTATGTCGAACATAAAATTAATTAATTTAATTTTAATTAATTATATTAGTAATTTATATCAGTTATGAATGTATCTTCCTATAAAATACGAAAAAAACGTACTTTGTTAGGCACTCAAAAATTTATTAAGAAATAAAACCTGCATTTTTTCCCCTGCAAATATAAATTCTACAAGATGTGTTATATATACAATCGTAGCAGGTATATAAAACGAAATTTGAAATTACCAGAAAATATTTTTAACTAAAACGAAGATACGACATTCGATTTTGTACTCGTGTAATAAGTCGCTAATATATGCTTAAGTGACTGTATAGTAAATCAAATAAATTGTTATATATTTTGCATGTTGAAAAGAAACGCATGCTAGAAATTTATATGAATGTAAATGTATATTTTTAGAAAAAAAATTCTTCTGGCGATTTGTATGTCTGTCATAGAGTACAGCTGAGCATCTTCTGTAATAAATTTAAATAAAAAGAAAAGAATAATATTATATTATACGTGTAACATATTGCGAATTAAATTGAAACGAATAGTCGTAAACTGCGATGCATAAGATAAACGTAATCCGTCACTTAACTGCCATACAATTATTTGGACTTGCATAAAAATAATCACTTATATGTATTTTGGCTATTTCAAGTTACATTATAGATCGTTCCTAAACACTCAAATCTTTACAGACGCATACGCATTGCTACTGCATTAAATGCAATGATTAGATGTATATATATGTATATGTATATATACATAATATATATACATCTATATAGTATATATATATATATATGTATAAGTACAATAATACAACAGCTATATATTATATCGATACTCACATCTTAGTACATTTTTATTCCTTTACAGCATTATAGTAGATACTTTTTGATAGTATTACATTCTGCCAAGTACGATTATCCCGCCTCCTTTGATTTCACAGGCGAAATCAAAAGCACGAAACACGTTGTTTCTTTCTTATATAGTAAAGATTGAGATTCTTATAGATTGTGTTTATTATTGCCTCAACCCTTCTTGATGGACATGAGCTGTATGTCACACTATGCTACTAGTCAACAATGTTATTAGCTATGTACTTAGAAGGGCTAAGATATTTCAAAGAAGTGAGATCAATTTTGAGAAGTGTGTGAACATAATCTAAAAATCCAACCCGTTGAATATGCAGTCTAAACAAAAATTCATAAAGAAAAGGAAATATAAAATACAATTAAATATCGAAAATATATTTTTTCGTATCACAATTAATCCTGCATATTCAAAGAGATGATATTTTTAGAAATCTATCAGGAATACATATAATGATTATTATTGCACGTAATATTTTACACGAACTATGTTTTTCAAATTATCAGGATATAACCTTATATATTCTCTTCAAGAGAGAGTTATGCAAACTAGATATGCCGAAAGATCGAAGGAAGGTTATATAAACGCAAATATCTATAAATCATGTTTTTATACACAAACGGAAGTTAAAGAATTTCTTATACTCAACTGTACAGTTCGTGAATGCCTAGAGTGTATAATTCTCTCGAATTTTTTCAGACTAAATTACTGCATAAGTTTTTAATAATGTTTACATTGTTTAATGCAGCATGCGACAAAAGAATACTTACATAAATGCTTCAAACCATAAATTTAAAATTATGCAAGTATATAT